ATATACTAATTATATCAATGTTGCTCCCTCCTAATATATTAATTGTATCAATGTTGCTCCCTCCTAATATCCTAATTATATCAATGTTGCTCCCTCCTAATATATTAATGATATCAATGTTGCTCCCTCCTAATATACTAATCATATCAATGTTTCTCCCTCCTAATATCCTAATTATATCAATGTTGCTCCCTCCTAATATATTAATTATATCAATGTTGCTCCCTCCTAATATACTAATCATATCAATGTTGCTCCCTCCTTATATACTAATTATATAAATGTTGCTCGCTCCTAATATACTAATTATATTAGTATTGCTACCTCCTAATATACTAATTGTATCAATGTTGCTCCCTCCTAATATACTAATTATATCAATGTTGCTCCCTCCTAATATACTTATTATATCAGTGTGGCTCCCTCCTAATATACTAATCATATCAATGTTGCTCCCTCCTAATATACTAATTGTATCAATGTTGCTCCTTCCTAATATACTAATTACATCAATGTTGCTCCCTCCTCTTTTACTGATCATATCAATGTTGCTCACTTCGAAAATACTAATTATATCAATGTTGCTCCCTCCTAATATACTAATGATATCAATGTTGCTCCCTCCTCATATACTAATCATATTAATGTTGCTCCCTCCTAATATACTAATCATATCAATGTTACTCCCTCCTAATATACTATTTGTATCAATGTTCCTCCCTCCTAATATACTAATTATATCAATGTTGCTCCCTCCTAATATACTAATTATATCAGTGTTGCTCCCTCCTAATATACTAATCATATCAATGTTGCTCCCTCCTAATATACTAATTATATCAATGTTGCTCCCTCCTAATATACTAATTATATCAATGTTGCTCCTTCCTATTTTACTGATCATATCAATGTTGCTCACTTCGAAAATACTAATTATATCAATGTTGCTCCCTCCTAATATACTAATCTTATCAATGTTGCTCCCTCCTAATATACTAATCATATTAATGTTGCTCCCTCCTAATATACTAATTATATCAATGTTGCTCCCTCCTTATATACTAATCATATCAATGTTGCTCCCTCCTAATATACTTATTATATCAATGTTGCTCCCTCTTAATATACTAATCATATCAATGTTACTCCCTCCTAATATACTAATCATATCAATGTTGCTCCCTCCTAATATACTAATTATATCAATGTTGCTCCCTCCTAATATACTAATCATATCAATGTTACCCCCTCCTAATATACCAATTATATCAATGTTGCTCCCTTCTAATATACTAATTTTATCAATGTTGCTCCCTCCTAATATACTAATTGTATCAATGTTGCTCCCTCCTAATATACTAATTATATCAATGTTGCTCCCTCCTAATATACTCATTATATCAATGTTGCTCCCACCTAATATATTAATTATATCAATGTTGCTCCCTCCTAATATACTAATCATATCAATGTTGCTCCCTCCCAATATACTTATTATATCAATGTTGTTCAGTCATCAAAACATAAATTATATCAATGTTGCTCCCTCCTAATATATTAATTATATAAATGTTGCTCCCTCCTAATATACTAATCATATCAATGTTGCTCCCTCCTAATATACTAATTATATAAATGTTGATCCCTCCTGATATACTAATTATATCAATGTTGCTCCCTTCTAATATACTTATTATCAATCAATGTCGTTCAGTCATCAAAATTAAATTATATCAATGTTGCTCCCTCCTAATATACTTATTATATCAGTGTGGCTCCCTCCTAATATACTAATTATATAAATGTTGATCCCTGCTGATATACTAATTATATCAATGTTGCTACCTCCTAATATACTAATTATATCAATGTTTCTCCCTCCTAATATACTAATTATATCAGTATTGCTCCCTCCTAATATACTAATTATAATAATGTTGCTCCCTCCTAATATATTAATGATATCAATGTTGCTCCCTCCTAATATACTAATCATATCAATGTTGTTTCCTCCTAATATGCTGATTATATCAATGTTGCTCCCTCCTAAGATACTAATTATATCAATGTTGTTTCCTCCTAATATCCTAATTATATCAATGTTGCTCCCTCCCAATATACTTATTATCAATCACTGTCGTTCAGTCATCAAAAATTAATTATATCAATGTTGCTCCCTCCCAATATACTTATTATCAATCACTGTCGTTCAGTCATCAAAATTTAATTATATCAATGTTGCTCCCTCCTAATATACTAACTATATCAATGTTGCTCCCTCCTAATATATTAATCAGATCAATGTTACTCCCTCCTAATATATCAATGTTGTTTCCTCCTAATATACTAATTATCTCAATGTTGCTCCCTCCTAATATACCAATTATATCAATGTTGCTCCCTCCTAAGATACTAATTATATCAATGTTGTTTCCTCCTAATATCCTAATTATATCAATGTTGTTTCCTCATCAATGTTGCTCCCTCCTAATATACAAATTATATCAATGTTGCTCCCTCCTAATATATTAATCATATCAATGTTACTGCCTCCTAATATACTAATTATATCAATGTTACTCCCTCCTAATATCCTAATTATATTAGTATTGCTCCCTCCTAATATACTAATTATATTAGTATTGCTCCCTCCTAATATACTAAATATATCAATGTTGCTCCCTTCTAATATACTAATTATATCAATGTTTCTCCCTCCTAATATACTAATTATATAAATGTTGATCCCTCCTAATATACTAATTGTATCAATGTTGCTCCCTCCTAATATCCTAATTATATCAATGTTGCTCCCTCCTAATATATTAATCATATCAACGTTACTCCCTCCTAATATACTAATTATATCAATGTTGCTCCCTCCTAATATACTAATTATAATAATGTTGCTCCCTCCTAATATATTAATCATATCAATGTTACTCCCTCCTAATATACTAATTATATCAATGTTGCTCCCTTCTAATATACTAATTATATCAATGTTGTTTCCTCCTAATATACTAATTATATCAATGTTGTTTCCTCCTAATATGCTGATTATATCAATGTTGCTCCCTCCTAATATACAAATTATATCAATGTTGCTCCCTCCTAATATAATAATTATATCAATGTTGCTCCCTCCTAATATACTAATTATATCAATGTTGCTCCCTCCTAATATACTAATTATATAAATGTTGATCCCTCCTGATATACTAATTAAATCAATGTTGCTCCCTTCTAATATACTTATTATCAATCAATGTCGTTCAGTCATCAAAATTAAATTATATCAATGTTGCTCCCCCCTAATATACTAATTATATCAATGTTGCTTCCTCCTAATATACTAATTATATCAATTTTTCTTCCTCCTAATATACTAATTATATCAATGTTGCTCCCTCCTAATATAATAACTATATCAATGTTGCTCCCTCCTAATATACCAATTATATCAATGTTACTCCCTCCTAATATACTAATTATATCAATTTTTCTTCCTCCTAATATACTAATTATATCAATGTTGCTCCCTCCTAAATCAATGTTGCTCCCTCCTAATATACTAACTATATCAATGTTGCTCCCTCCTAATATACTAATTATATCAATTTTTTCAGTAATAATGTACAGTAAAACCTCGTTATAATGCCACCATTTGTCGAGGAACATTATGGTGTTATGCAGGGGTTTGGCGATAAATTGAGGGACACATCAGAAAAGGATTTGTAAGAAAAAGAGAAATGGGGACGCTGAAATATGTTGGCGGTAAACGAGGTGGCAGATGGAGTGAGGGGCATTATTTCGAGGTTTTACTGTACTGGTTACGTCATTTCTTTTCAATCATATCTTATTACAAATGTATATAAATGTTGTTTCTTCATTAAAATACAAATTATATTCATGTTGTTTAGGCATATTTGTTTTTGGATTATGTAATGTTGTTCAGTCGTAATATATTGATTTGGTCTATGTTGTTTAATCTTAACATAATTATAGATATCTTCTTCAGTCATACATGTACACCGTAACTTTAATATCTTAAAGTTTTTGAGTAATGATTATATATGATCATGAGTTATATCAGTTGTTAAATCTTTAGATTTTACAGAAATACTTTTAAGTCATAAAATACAATTTCTAAGTCTATAAATATAATTCCTTAATGATATAATGATCAGGGCCCGTATTCATGAAGACGTTCTCATGCTTAAACATTGATTTTGTGCTCAAGCTTCATTCCTTGTTCTGGTTATCAATTCATAAACAAATCTTATTTTGCCAAATATTTGGAAAAACATTAAAGAGACATGAACCCGAATACTGTTTTCAATGTTTACATATGACATTTTGATCTTTTGACATGATTTAAGTGAGTAACAAGAAGGTCAGTTTTAGCACAAAATCCATGCTTGAGCATGAGGACGGTTTCATGAATACGGGCCCAGATCAAGGATGTTCAATCAAAACTTTATTATCGCAAATTTCTTCAGTCATATCATATAACCTTATACATAATTATGTTAAACATGTAATATCAATTTAGTTAAGTAAATACGTAATGACATCGATTTTTCAGTCAAAAAGGAATGTCATTATACGAAATCTTATTCAGTGCAATCCCGATCAATATATGTACTTGTTTACCTTGATTGATCTATAGTGTAACACCTGTGCCGTATTATCCGTTCTACTACGTATACTTTAGACTGTGTGCCGTGTATAAGATGGAAGACGCTCTGTAAAGAATCATGAAAAAACACCAACAGCTAAACCACGAACAGCGTTCGTTCAGTCTCCCCTTATCTTGCTCTCGCAATCTTCCTCGCATGGTACGATTATTAATTTGATGCTCAAAGATTAGGGGGAAAATAGGGAGAAAAAAAGACGTAGTTGCGTTGGGGCGTATGCATAACGTGGCTATGATCGACTCGAGTCAGAGGGAGCACGGCCCGAGGTCGCCACTTCGCCCTACATTACATATTGATATGTTTATATTATAAACCTCTCTGACTAGTGGCTCGCTCCGTTGATACATCACATTGCAGTTTCCCAGCAAGGCGAACATGTGCTCATGTGATTAGGGCAAGCACCTATTGGTGCATTATCGATCTGCAAGTCATAGCGAGGCTCGGTTGACCCTATTGAGAGAAAGGGAGCTTGGATAACCCCGGATGGCTCCCCGACGTGTGCTTTCTGATATGTGTAGGAATGCGGTGCTTTATCGTGGAGGGTATGGGGAATGCCGATATTAATGGAACTCGGTGTGTGTGGGAAATCTTTCCGCGTAGTTCACGCAGTACCGATCAACACGGAAACAGGTAAGACTACTAGTAATGTACTATATTGTAGGGGAATAGGGGAAGGGGAACACTGATTTGCAGTGACGGATCATCGGGGTTTCTGGGGCTCCAGGAGCACGGTAACAGCGATAAAGGGGCGGGTAACGCAACTGTACCGACAAAGGAAACAACATGGAAGGGGGGAGGGGTAATTATGTATGGTACGGAAGAAGGGATTTAGGTTTCAGAACGGGAGTTTAGGTAGGGAACGGGGATAGGGAAAGGCCAGTATCATCGGGGAACGGAGCAAATTGGTACAGGCGAAGGGGAGTAATGGCGATTATAAATGTATGGATCATAACTTGTTACGAGGGTAGATATTCCTTTCGAGACTGTGTGTCAGTATGTGTGTGTTGGGGTGGGAATGAGGGGTTGGGGGTGGGGTTGGGGTGTTGGATAACTAGAAGAGCTAAAATAAAACTTTTAAGTATATATTGTAATGTGTGTGTAAGGGGGAGGCGAATTAGAGATTGTGGGGTGTGACATATATATGTGTGGTGTGTTTACGGGTGTATTTTACGTGTACATGTGTAGAAGATGTGTGAGGTGTAGTTGGAGGGGGGNGGAGCGTATATTTTGTATCATATAGATTTTGGTGTTTAAGGCTACATAGGGTGGTCGTCTTGGGAGACATTGGTTTGTAAAGTTAATTTAGACAAGCCTTTATTACCAATCTGTTTGTTATGGTACTCGATTGAGATCTTTGCATTTTCTCTTTCTATCCACCATTGACATATACAAGAGTCTCTAGAGAGGTAAGGGAGAGAGATCATCCGATATCCAATTATCGGGTACATGCATTGTACCTGTAGACCAATTTCATCTGGTATGTACTTTGTTAGCCATACATTTCTGATGGGTGTCAAGCATTGTTAGCTTAATTCGGTATTAACGAATAATTTTAAACTCATTTTTACCTAAACAATACTCATCCATAAATTAATTTACAATCCAAAACCATGTATGTTTAAATTCCAATTTTAATACATACTTATCAAAATAGCCGAAATCTACCACTTTATTGGTGTTTTGCCAAGCTTATTCATTATTTCCAACGACCCGAAACTGTAGATAACCTTATTAGATTTTCAGTACTAAAGTACATGTATGTTTTCAATCCATTAAGATGGCAATACTTTTACAACATGACAAAGAAAAAATGTTATACTCTATTATCGGTTTCTTTGCTTATATAAATCTCCAAATTTTACTAAAATTCTTTATCTACCATTTGAAAGGAATTATTATGAATGAAATGTTTTTATCTGCATTACTCTCCGTCAATGAATTTTCACAAATCTTGTAATGCATGCTGTGTAATATCAGTGCTAGGGCAGGTGGCCATTTTGTACAGTGATTGATCACCTACAATGGCTTTTCAACTCTTATCATATATAAATGCAGTCTCGCTTATTTAAAGAATTGTGTTGTAGACCTGTTAATTGGTTTCATGTGACGCTAATACGCGAATTTCACGTTAAGAAAAGAAATAATTATTATTCATATTGATAGATATATTTAAACGTTTTAGATAATTCTGCACAGACGAGTTGAATTGCAAGTAATCCATCAAAATAAATTTTGCATAAGATTAATTATTTACACTATTTTGGGTTTACTATCTTAGTAGCGCTACAATACAAGCTCGTGAAAAACGTGATAGAGTAGATATGTAAACGTGTTGTATAGTGTATATATAGCCTCTGTACCACACACCACATGTGTTGTACACACACGCGTCTATCACTTGTAAATGGGAGCTGTCAGAGTAATGAGTTAAAAACGAAACTTCCTCAAGTATTCGACATAATTAAATCTCACACCCCTGGATGTGGTATATTGATCTATAATCATTTCACTGTAATTTAGCGCAGTGTGGTTTTCACCGAGAGCTATGTAGTCCTTTTCGATCTTGGGGCTTAGCAACTCGAAGAGTATATGTGTTTTATACATCTTGAGCTAATCAAGTAATTTTATTACAAATTTATAACAGGTACCTACCACTCTAGATGATTTGGTTAAGTGTCTTTATTACTAAAGCTAATTAAGGTCATTTAAGGACGTGCCTCCATGTGTGTAATGCATGCTTGTATGTGTGTACGTGTGCTGGAGGCGGTATATTGGGTGTATTTGTCTCCCTGTGATAGTGCGGATCTGATGGCGACTTTAGAGTGCTACATGTTCCTTACTGAAGGACCATGCAGAAAGCGCCAAGCACAGTATTCCTCCCGGTCACATTATACTTAAAATAGTCTAACCAATTGTTGTGATAACCCTTAATATTGAACGTTAAACAGGGAATAACAACTATCATTTTAAGGACTTTGGTATATCCCGTCCTGTGGATATAACCCGTTTCCTCCCCAACTTTGGCGAATGTTCAACACTGAGGCAAAATGTGAGTTATTCCCAAGTAAGGCGCTTGGAAACAAAAACGTTTATAGGGATTAGCGAGAAAATATAAAGATCCCAAAGAAAGCAGTTGATGCAGACGATTTCGTTTGTTCGAGTTTGTGTCCCCTAGTGCAAGGCAATCCCAAAAGACCTCTTACAACTTATAGTGAGTAACAGCAGGGGTTTTATCAACCCCTTGCACGAGTTTTATGGTGTTTGAAAGTTGTCATTTTTATCATGAAGATGCGGAATATCCTCCGAAATAATATATTTCTGGTAAAAAAAGTATTATTTCAATAAAATATTCTTCATTTCTCCAACAAGTATGAACATTTGAGAAAGAAAGTTTCAAGATTGCTTTCATTTCAGACCTACAGACTTGAATGTTAATTTTCTATTTCGCTAAGTAAGTCATACGTGGAATTTAACGTTATGTTTGCCTATCAGAATGTTTTCACATTTCAGTGAGGTATTTTCGTGTAAGTATCTGTGACATCATTACAAATCTCGTTTCAAGTTGGCACAGATGGGATAAATAATCGAAGATCTTTCAAAAGCTGTTTTCAAATTTCTTCATACGTTACAAAAAAAGTAGACGAACATGACCTGAATACATGGTTGAATTAGTTCGGTCCTAGTGATATGTGCTATTACACATGGTTGAATAGCGTAAGCGGTTTTGAAAGGTCCGAAATGACTCCAACGTTTAATCTTCCACTTCAAATGATGGTAGATGGTTGATCGCAACCAACCTGTTTAAGTGTTTATCAAACTGAATAATTATGCAACCAATTCAATCTTTGACTGTACTTCAGGTATTTTTCAGTCAGACAACATAATTTGCTGTAATATGCATGATACATGCAGTTCGATTTATTTGAAGTTCATTAGCATATAAGTATTCTATGCGTAGGGGTAAAAACCGTGTTTCTCTTTAATCATGGTGTAATTTGCAAACCCAAAACATGTGTTTGGTATTAACATTCCACAATGAAATAACTTTAAACAAAAGTGAATAGTGTTGAATACAGGAAGCGTCTGTGTTGATTCACAGAGGCCATCAATTTAATCATAGTTATCTCAAATACTAACAGGCGTACTAGATAAAGGTTAAACTATTAAAGTACGACTATAGAGTTTCAAAAGGTTTTATTTTGATAAGTTTTATTTTTAAAGTTAATTAAGTTGAAGTTTAATTTGGTTTAAGTATTGTTTTGAAGTTATCTGACTTTAGTTTTGAGCCTGGTTTAGCTTAATTTGGTTAAGTTTAGTTTAAGTTAAATTTAGTTTTGAGTTTAGATCAGCTAAGTGGGTTTTTTAGCTAGTTTAGTTACTGTTTAATTTGATTTTAGTTTAGATTAAGTTAAGTTTTGTTTTGAGTTTAGCCTAGCTAAGTTTGTTTAGTATAGTTTTTAGCTTAGCTAGCTTAGATAAGACCATATACTGAGTTTAGTTTAGTTTAGTTCATACTTTAGATTGACTTAGTACTAGTTTAGTTTCGTTTCGTTAATTCTTACATATAATTCATGCCGTGAGCCCTATATACCAGCATAATTACCTGAATGCAAAAGTTGAAGGTCTTCACCGATTCTCAGTTATTCATGTTTTCCTCAGCGCATTGCATTAAATGCTTGTAAAAATGCTAACCAATGTATACCTGTATGACCGAATGGCCATTATAATTATTATTTCTTTATTTCCTCCAAATTGAAGAGTTACAAAAATATACAGTGTAGTCAAAATACAAATCAAATATTATTAATTGATTCTTACATGCACATAAATACATCAGTTAACTACAGAGATGAAGAGAGAAGTTAATGAAACTTGAATTAGTTTAGTAAATACAGAAAGAACAGCAAATCATACAAAATAATTAGAATGCCTGGGAATCCTGAGGTTTCCAAGGGTTGGGGAAAGCCCTACCAACAAGGTCTTCTCAGGCTTACCCACACATAAACACACACAAAATAAGAGAAAAAAAAATAGTAATTAGGTAGACATTGCTATTGTACGTACGTTTGTACGTGTTATATCATTATTAACGCTGATACAACAGCAACATTTTGTCAATAAAAATAGCATTATGCAGTATAAAGGTTACATAATCAGTTGAGCTTAATATGTGGGGAAGGCTACCCCCTAGTAATACATGAATTAAATCATAATCAGACAAAGAGGATAATAACACGCCAAGTTCTATATCAAAAGCCGTACTTATAAGAGGTAGCGTACCGTATCTGAATTACTTTTGCCAGGTTACAAAATGTGCGGTATTTATAAGATGAAGGCGAGGTTATTAGTTAACAAAACTGTGTGATCCCCCCACTTCCCTCATCGGACTTCAACAAGACAACCACTGTTTAAGAGAGGTTTAGATTGAGGGTAGGGGTGGGTGGGATCGATCCAAGCTAAAATTTACTTTCAGGTAGCCCTTAATTTCAACAATATTCATGTGAACAATATGATGACGTCACTTCATTAGAACGTCCGGTAGTCTAAGATATTCGAAAATCTGTTCATTGATTTTATTAGTGAAAGTACGATAGTGAAAACATCATATATTTATACGTTACGCCAATGTA